TATAAAACCTTTCGATATGTTAGCGTAGCTGCTCGATTCGAGCGGCTCGTTTAGTAAGCTTGCGATGAACTGATCGAATTCTTCCGTAGATACAAGTAGCAAGCTTTCGATTGATACTACGTATTAAAAGAATTTGCTTTTCGTCACTTTTTTTGCGTCTTTAAAAGCTTAGAACTTAGCGACGGATGCTTTCTTTTCGTCGAGAGTGTAGTTAATGCTCTAGCAACTTAGCTTTTTATAAACAAAACACTTTTTTTCATTTTTAATAGCTTTAGCAGCTTTTTTACTTTCGAAATATTAACGGTTTTGAATAAAGCATTCGTATTCTTCGTTTAAATCGGAGTCAGCTTTTAAAGTGTTATGCTAAAAGCAAGTGTGATCGTATAGCTCGCTAAAGCTCGCGTAAGCTTTAGCTTTAGCGAGAGGTCGAGAGGTCTTAGTTGCAAATGCAATAGCTTTGCGAATGTCGACAACTGCGACGGTAGAAGTAAAAGCAAGATTCATCCGCGCAATAATCGTCTTTAATACGTTTTTACAAGCTAAATATAGCTTATCAGCAAGACTTTTATCGTTTTTTAAACTTGGTCGTAATAAGCTTTAAAGTCCTTTAAGCTCTTTAGCAAGCTTTTTAAAGCATTCGCTAAACGAGGTCCTTAGATTTTCTTTTCTAATCAAATCTAGCGAAATTTCTTTTTAACGGTCGTATTTTGCTTGCCGCCGGTAGTCAGTTTCGAAGTAGTCTTTTACCGCAATAGCATTAGCTTTGAATATCGAAAGCTTAGCTTTGATTATATGATTATAATAAAAGGTTATAGCCTTTTTTGTGAGTATAATCGAGAATGCTGTTAAGTAGTCGTTTAAGGTTAAACCGTACCGATTTGCTTAGTTAATAAAAATCCTTAATTAAGTCTTAAAATCATCGTCGAGTCTTGAATACTTTAGCTCTTTAAGAAAGCTTCGCGCGAACAAAGCTAATTCTTTCGCTTTTAAGTAAGGGTTTGCTGCTTTTAGCTCAAGGAAATCGTCTTTATCATCGTTAAAAGCGCTTAAAGTGCCGTACGCAGGCGTGCTTTGCTTAGTTAATAGTCTGATCGGTAAGAGGTTACCGATATAATTGCTAGTGGTCCGTCTTTTTCTAAAGTCCTTAAGAGGCTCATTTCCGAATCCGAGGTCTTTTAAAGGTCCGTTTCCGAATCCTTTTAATAGTCTAGAAGGGCCGTTCTTACTTCTTCCGTACTCGTAGCTTCGATCTCCTTGCTAATCTTTCCCGTTCTTTTTTCGTCGATTATCGTCAAGATCGTTAAGGTTATTTAAGTCACCGGCTAAAGCTCTAGCTTAATAATATCCGTACCTTTAAGCACGGTCTTAGCGATTTTTATACTTTTAGTATCTTTCTTATCGATACGTAGCTTGTTAAAGGATCTAAAGAGCTTATTAGTACGTCCGAAAGTGCTAGACCCTTTTTTCGAGTTGCTAAGGTTAAGCACGTAAATCTGCACGCTATCCTTAGTGAGAGCTGATTTTACCCGGAATGCTCTTAAGTTTTAATGGGTCCTTCTTTAGCGTATAACTCTCGTAGCTTCGAGTGTTGTTTAGTCCGATGATAATCTCAAGACTATTTTTATTACTATTCAGTCTTGGCTTATCGAAAATTCGGCTGTAGCCTTTAAGAAAAGGGTTTTAAGGCTGCTAAAGTGATTTTGGCTCTTCTTATATGATTGGCGTATTGCGTAGCGATTAATAAGATTGATGAATTAAAGACGAGTACGCTAAAGTGCTTCGTCGTAGCTTTTCGTTAGATTGTATAGCGTAAGTCCGTAATTCCGCTATTTCCTTTGCTATAGCTTTTATATTTCGTTTTATATCTTTCTTCTTTTTTAAAAACTCTTCTCGTAACCTTTGGATTTCCTTTCTTTCTTCTTTTCTGCTTAAGGTTTCTTTTTCCTTCTTTTTTAAGCTTCTCGAAGGTGGTAGAGGTAGTTGAGGCGTATTATCTTCGTCGTTTATAAAGTTTTCGGCGGTCCACTTTAAATCAAAGTTTAAAAGTGTTGCTTGTTGCTCTTTTATTTTTTAAAAGGTCTACTAGTGCTGCTGCTCGTCGTTTAAGAGCTTAACCATCTTATTAGCGTAGCTCTTTTGCTTTAAAGGGCACTACACGCTTTTAGACAGCAAGTGTTTTTTAAAGCTAATAAAAGTAGCAAACTTAAAGCTTCGTCTTGTATTGTCTTTCGTTATCGTAAAACTCGTCTAATCTTAACGTAAGAAAGCATACCGGAATAAGCTTTATAAATCGTAATCCTTTAGCTTTTTACACTTCGCGTTTAAAAAGTCCTTTACTATCGCTCGAGCCGTGATCTTATTATCTAGCCTTGCGTATAATAGCTCGTTTAAGTCAAATAAGATGCTCGATATCTTATCGTCTAGTCCTTCCGAAAGGCTTAAGAGCTTTAAGTATAGTGTTTCTTTTAGCTGAATAGCTAAGGGTTCCGTAAGTAGTGATGAGACTCGAAGGGTATAATACTTTACTGCTTTTTGTCGGCTAGACTCCTTACCTAGAAGTCTAATTGCTCGATCGGCTATAGTTGTTGTTTGCTCGTACGTAAATCGATCGTGTTAGTTAAGTTTGCTATATGTAGCAAGCGCGGCTTTATAGTTTTAAAGGTTGTATAAAAGTGACTTGGTTCGGAATCACTCTTCCGTAAGAATAAAGGAAAATCGATAGTATAAGAAGCGACTTAGTACGGAATCGCTCTTCCGTTATAAAGGAAAGGTATCGAGGTGTAAGAAAGCGACTTGGTACGGAATCGCTCTTCCGTTGTAAAAGAAAGGGGGTATCGTATTGAAAGGTATCCTCGCTATAGAGTCTTAGCTTTTCTGTGATTGATCACTTAGTAGTAAATCAACTACTGATCAGTGTTAGATTGCTTCTAAGCGATTGAAAATATATTCGTAACTTCGTAAGGTCGTCAAAGTACTTGCAATTGTAAAACACTCGGTTGATAAAGTATCTGAATTCTGTCTGCTCTTTAAAGCTCAAAGGAGCTGACTCCTTTTATACGATTAGAAGGAATCACGTGCACTATTTAACTAATAGGTTTACTTGTCAAGTTGGGGGTCCTTTGACTACTGACATGCTAAGCGAGGCATGCCAAGTGGTCCGTGAACTATGGTTCACGGGTGAGCTTCCCCCAACTACTACTACTACTACTACTAGCTAGCTAAGGTCGATATGGATATACCGACAGTAAAAGTATTTGAATTTTAATTGCTTTTTAAGATTTAAAAGAGCTGATTCTTTTTATATGATTAAAAGGAATCACGCGCACTAGCTAACTAATAAGTTTATTAGTTAAGTTAAAGGTCTTTTGATTGGTGTGATATGCTAAGCGAGGCATGTTAAGTGGCTCGTGAACTCTTTTAAATATTATTAGTTAGTTAAGGTCGATATAGATATACCGACATT